TTCCCCCTGTTTCTAGTTACACATTTGCGAGCTGTCGATTGCAATCATAATATCTGTAAGGAATTTAGCATTCCTCTGCCACCGCCTATATCAAACCCCACACGGCACCGACATCTGCCCTAGCTTCGGCCCGAACACGGCACCAAACTATTTTCGCGTCACTCCGAAGCGCTCCGCGTCCTTGGATGTCTCTTACGAACGTGTTCGATCACGCGGCTAGGATTGCTCTGTTGTTCCTATATCTTGCTTCATCATTCGATTGTACGACATTCTATTATTCTGAATTTCGACATTCGATTCCGCGCTACACTGGTGAAACACTCATAACATCTGGAATTCGGAGTTGCTTTCCTGACCTACCCACTTCTGTCGGCGGAAAACTTTTTTTGGGGGAGGGGGGGGCGTAGTTCGCTCACTGAGCTGCAAAGCGGTCGGCTGCGAGTTAGACGAATTACTTCGCCCGACTACGATAGCGTTTGCACTCTTACCTGAGCACGGGTAATCACGGATATTCCCCTGCCCACCCAGCGTAGTGTCCGCCACATGGACCAGGCACTGTTTGACGAGTTGCTGGCAAAATTCACTGCCATGGAGGCTCGCCTAACAGCTGTGGTGGACGACAACGACAAACTTCGTGCCGAAGTTACCGAACTTCGCCACGTGCAAGAGACTACGCGCTAGAAGTTGCCCGCCTCCGAGGACGCCACCAGCACGGGACGTGTCGAAACAGTATGGGACAAAATTGCACGCGAAGTGTCGTAGGAGCGCCGTGATGATGAAGCTGAAGCAGCAACGAATGCCACCGCACGTGCCACGGCAGCTGCAGCATGTGCAACAACGGCCGCCGCCCGCTCCGAAGCAGCAGCAATAGTTTATGCAGCAGCCACAGCCACACCGACTGTACCAGTGGCCAAGATAAAGTCATCGATGCCACCCCCTTTTAACCCCATGGACAAAAACACTACCATGACGGGCTGGCTTTTTGCGATGGAGCTTTATTTCGATGCTGTCGGGATTACTGTTGATGATTTCAATATCAAACTGGCTATTTCGCTACTGAGGGGACCTGCACTGGATTGGTGGTGATCGACACGAGTGAGACGGGGACTTCGCCATGGAACACTCAGGGGTTTTTCAGGAGTTCGGAATCTACTGCCTGGGATGCAACGTCAATTTTCGGATCGACCGAGATTCGCACGTGGAAAGCGTGGGGTACAACTCTGCACGCACGTTTCAAGCCCATATCCGACTTGGACAACGCACGCACGAAGCTGGACACATGGCGCCAGTTGACCTCTGTCCAGGATTACGCGTCATCATTTCAGGAACTGTGCCACCACATCGCCGACCTATTAGAAGCTGAAAGAAAGAATCGGTTCATCGTGGGGCTCAAATCCGACGTTCTCTACGAAGTGAGGATGCGACGCCCGGCGACGTTCCAAGAAGCAGTGGTGATCGCCGACCTGTACGACGCCAATCAAAAATACGTGAGATCGGGTTCCCGGGAGGGAAATCATTTTCGTGGCCAGGATCAACGACCCTCGATCAATAGCATTGTGGTGTACGATGAAGATCATAGAAAGTGACAATGTTTTCACTGCCACCAGCCGGGTGACTGATATGCTGACTGCCATGACCAGAAGCAGAGGAAAAAGAACAACGGGGATAAGCCGGAAAATGACTCTCGTCAGTAGCAAACGGGCCCCCTACTGACACGGCTGCATCGCCCGAGAAAAAGCATCTCCATCGAGTAGTGGTACCGGTACACGCTATCGACCACTCTTGGATGAATAACGGGGATAAACCTGAGGATCACCCTGTGCTGGTAGAAGGAAGGGTTAACGGCAAAAAAAAAAAAAAAAAAAAAAAAATCTTCATTGATGGTGGTGCAAGCCACCGCCTGATTCACCGACCGATGGCGAAAAAAATAAATTTACCCCTGGAGCGGTGTCTGCCTGAGATCGACACCCGATTGGTCGATGGCTCCCCGCTGGCAATACGCGATCGCGTGCAAACTGTTTGCATGAAGTGTGTTGACAATTTCAGCTTCAGCGCACCGATGCTAGGGAGGACACTCGACGGCTATGATAAACTGCTGGGACGAGATTGGCTTCGGCGACACTACCCCCAGATCAGTTGGATGACATGCAAAGTGAAGTGCGTGACTGGTCGGCAGACACTGCCAAGTTGGCGAGGATCAGAGCCGATAACGACACGTGTCAACGCTGTCACGCTGACACGCGCAGTCAAGAAAGGTGCAGAAATGTACGCCATCCATCTGAAGGATTCAACAAACGACGATCAACTGGCCGACATTGGCAAGCTCTGTGCAGCAGTCCCCGAAGATCTGACGAAATTGCTTCGTCAATTCTCATATATATATCCGGACGACTTGCCACCTGGCCTACCGCTAGAACGCCCTCAGGTCGGATCGAACTCGAACCTGGCGCGCAACCAACTATCCGGACACAGTGGCGGCTGACACAACCCGAGCTCCAGGAACTGCGGGACCAGCTGGACTACTTGCTGGCCAAGGGGTTCGTTCAACCGAGCACGTCCCCATTTGCAGCCTCGATCCTGTTCACCCCCAAGAAAGATGGGGGCCTTCGAATGTGCATCGATTATCGCGCCCTGAATAGGGTTACGATAAAATCTCGCTACCCAATCCCGCGTGCGGACGAACTGATCGACCAGCTGCGAGGCGCTTGCTATTTCTCGAAGATCGACATCCGCGGCGGTTACCATCAGATTCGAGTCTTCGTCGACGACTGCCACAAGACCGCGTTTCGTACTCGCTACGGGAGTTACGAATACACAGTCATGCCGTTCGGGTTAACGAATGCCCCCTCCACATTCCAGCTGAAGATGAACAGGGTAATCTGGGATCTACTCGATAAATGTGTGATAATTTATCTGGACGATATCCTGATTTACAGCACGACACGGGAACAGCACTTAAAGAACCTGGAAGGGGTTTTTCAGTGCCTGCAGCAGAATTGTCTCATCACCAAAGGCTCTAAGTGTGAGTTTTTAAAACCCGAACTGGAGTTTTTGGGGCACGTTATTTCGACGGAGGCCGTGAAAATTGACCCCCGCAAAATACGGGCGATTCAGGATGGGAAGCCGACGACCAACCTCTAGGAGCTGCAATCGTTCTTGGGGTTCGTGAATTACGTGCGCCGGTTTATACCCAACATGGCGGGGTTAACTGGAGCACTAACTGACCTACTTCACAAGGGCGTTGATTATCACTGGGGGGAGAAGCGGCAAGCTGCATTTGATGGATTAAAAAATATTTTAATCTCGCCACCAGTACTTCGGATTGCTGACCCAGAACAACCGTTTGAATTCATGACTGACGCAAGTGACATCGCCATCGGAGCAGTCCTGCTACAAGATTTTGGCGACCGCTTTCAGCCAATCGCGTACGAGTCGCGAAAGTTACAGTCGGCCGAGCGAAATTATCCCGTACACGACAATGAAATGTTGGCGATCGTGCACGTGTTCAAGATCTAGCGATGCTACCTGACGGGAGCCGCATGACTGTACGAACAGATCACAAATCTCTACAGTACCTGCGAGCGCAGCCGAATCTCAACCCGTGGCAGATTCGCTGGTTGGATTATCTGGAGTCGAACTTCACGAATCGCATCACGTCCAAGAAGGGTGCCAACAACATTGCTGACGCCCTCTCCAGACCATCTGCCCAAACTGCCGCTGTACTAATCGCCCAGACGAATCCGTTGGTGAGCGGACTATTTACCCACGGATATTCGACCGATCCCTTTTTCGTAAACAACGGCCACCAGCAAGTCACGACTGCACGAGGAGCCTATTAAGTAAAAGCGGGAACGGAACGAATTTGGGTTCCGAGTTACTAATTCAATAAGTCGACGATTCAAACTTATCATGACATTTTGGGGTTGACAAGACTCTGAAGGCACTGCAGCGGTTTTATTACTGGCCATACATGATTTTGGATGTGCAGAAGTACGTGGGCGCGTGCCCGACCTACCAGACGATGAAATCATCACGCCAGCGGTCAGCAGGACTTTTGCAGCCCCTCGAGCCACCCCAGCGACCTTGGCAACACGTGACAATAGATTTTGTCACCGGCCTGCCGACCGGACAAATTGGTAACGACGCAGTTCTTGTCATTGTCGACCGCCTCACAAAAATGGCTCACTTTGCGCCATGTCGTACAACGATCACAGCGGAAGAAACATCGCGGCTGTTCATCTCGACCCTCGTTCGCCTGCATGGTATCCCTACGGCGATCATCAGCGACAGAGACCCAAAATTCACCTCGTGCTTTTGGCAAGACACGTGGAACCGATATGGCACTCGCCTACAGTTCTCATCCGCCTATCACCCGCAAACCGACGGTCAAATAGAACGGACGAATCAGACCATGGAACAGTTGATTCACACAAACTGCCCGGATATCAACAAATAGGAAGATTTGCTATCCATGCTTGAGTTTTCCTACAACAACGCACCCTCCGCCACGATCAATCACTCGCCCTTTTTCCTGAATTACAGGATGGATCCGACAGTACCCATGTCCACCAACGTCAAAAGCCAAGTCCCCCGCTCGCAGCAGTTCGTCGAAGACCTTCAAACCGCCCGCACGAAAGCCATTGCATTTATCCGAAAAGCCAATGTCACTGCCCGCCAATATGCCGACCACCACAGACGAGATATTGTTAGGATTAAGGACGGAGTCTAGGTGAACTTAGGAGCTAGAATTACTCAAAATATAAATCCGAAATTCTGGACAGAAAAGTCGTCTTCACAAGAAACGACGTCGACGGAAAACTAGCCGTTGGAATGTTGCGAAACTTGGATATGTTGTAGCTCTTAATCTTAGCTACCGTTCTCAATTTGAATCACGTTCATTGATGAAGTATTCGCGACGCTATGTCTTTCGACGCACTGAGGGGTAAGCTTGTAGGAGGAGAACTTAACTCAATCTCAAAAGTTCAATCAAGGTTCAAGAATCTCACAAGGAATTAGAGGAGCAAGAGAAAGGTTGGGATAGAAGAGAGGGACGAGAGGGAAGGTCCCAAGAGAGTCCCCAACCAAGGAAACCCCATAAGCACAAAGATTCCCTCCATATAGGAACCCCAAATTTGACCTTTGTCCCTTCCCAACCAATCCATCCAAGTTGGCCACCCTTGCCAACCTAGCTTGGTTGTTCCCAACCTATTTGCAGCTGTTACAGTAGAGTGACAAGTTTCCCCAAACCCAAAGGTCCCAACTCCATATAAAGTCACCCCACAACTTCACTTTGTAACCGCCGCAATTGTAACGCAAGCTCATGATCTTTGAATCTTCATAGCTTTCGCGTTCTTGCTCCGATTGAAGGGATTCTCGTTGCGTCGGAAAGATCTTCTCAAGATCTATTATCACAAATACCTGCTCAAACAAAAATAACACAGAACACATTCCCAAACTCCAGAACACACCACACACAAATGCTTGCACATTCAAACCACACATGCAAGTTGAAAACATGGGATGGGAGGCAGACAGAATGTGATAGCATATGATGACATCACACAACAATCTCCCCCTCTGGCTGCCAACCATCATCCACCATACCACATCTCAAGCATGCATACTCAATGCACACTCATCCCAGCAAGCTTCATGCCCTTCCAATGATCCGCCTCCGCCAGACGCTTAGTGAAAATATCTGCTGCCTGCTGATGGGTCTTCACTATCTCCAGCCGCACCTCCTTATCAAGGAGTCTCCTCACCCAGTGCCACTTAGGCCTTATGTGTTTTGTAAGCCCATGCAGACAAGCATTCTTGGCGAGCTTCACAGCAGACTCATTGTCACAGAAGATCACCGTCGGCTCCTTCTGACCAACTCCCAACTCCTCCAACAAACGCCTCAGCCACACCACTTCCTTGACCCCATGGTGTAAGGCCATGTACTCAGTCTCACATGAGGACAATCCCACCTCATTTTGCTTCTTGCTGCGCCAGCTCACAGCACCACCTCCTAGCAAGCACACATAACCCCCAATGCTGGTGCCATCCGCTTTCACTGAGTTGAAACTAGCGTCATTATAGCAACTCAAGAGCATCTCACCACTCTTCACATCTGCAGCACCTCTCTGCAACCGCTGCCTCACTCCACTGTACTCCAATCCCACTGATGCCGTAGCACTCACATAGCGGACCAACCTCTTGGCCGCTTCCAGCTGCTCATGACTAGGGCGTGAGACCACACTAGCCAACCGTGATGTAGCAAATGCAATGTCAGGCCGTGTATGATTTGCAGCATAATTCAGCGACCCAACCATCGAATGAAACAGCTTCCTGTCACTCTCACTCACTACCTCCTCATCAGCACATGGCTCCACAGTAAACCCCGAAGGTAGTGGTGTTGCTGGCTTTCCCCCATCTTGCAACCCATACTTCTCAGCCAGCCCCTCACAGTACTTCCTCTGGTGCAACCTCAGCACACCCTTCTCCACATCCCTCTCCACATGCATCCCCAAGTAGTACTTCACCTCACCCATCTTGGAGCACTTGAACTGCATCTCCAGCATCTGCTCTGCGCTGTCCAGCAAAGCAGTTGATGCAGAGAAGAGAAGGATATCATCCACATATACCAGGAGCATGAGGATTTCATCCTTCTCCTGCAGCAGGAACAGGCTGGGGTCACACTCACTCTTCTTGAAACCCCCAGCCAACAGCGCCTCCTCCAACTTGTGATACCATGCACGAGGCGCCTGCTTAAGGCCATAGATGGCCTTCTTCAGCCTGCAGACCCTGCCGCTCCCATCATCCAGCCCCTCTGGCTGCTTCATGTACACCTCCTCCAGAATGATCCCATTCAGAAAGGCAGTCACAATGTCCATCTGCCGTATCTTCCATCCCAGGAGTGCAGCTATCGCTAACAGCACCCTCAGTGTTGTTCCTTTCCCCACAGGAGCAAACACCTCATCATAGTCCTTCCCTTTTGTCTGCTGAAACCCCCTTGCCACAAGCCTAGACTTGTAGCGGGTCAGCTCCCCTTCAGGTCCATACTTGTGCCTGTAGATCATCTTGGAAGTGATTGCCTTCTTCCCTGGAGGCAAGTCACACAAGTCCCATGTCTCGTTCTCAATCAGGGACCCAAACTCCTCATCCTCACTCGCCTTCCACTTCTCCCCATTTGGTCCATTCAAGGCCTCTTCTCGAGTCTTGGGCTCAGGGATTGGTGCCCAGTAGCAGTGAGCGATCTCATCTTCCTCAATCTGCTCAACCACACTCCCAGCCTGCACCACATTCGGCTTGCCTCTTCCCCCATAAGTCAGCCTCACCGGAGGGCACACATCCCTCCTAGGTCGCTCAGGCGGGTGTGGAACTCGAGATGGAGACTCATGCTGCTGCTGCTGCTGCTCCACCTCTGCTGCTCCCCCTTCCTCAGTCACCCCAGACATCTCCTCCTCTGACACTGCAACCTCCACCTGTCTTGAAGGCTGCTGCACCTCATCTGCCTCCACAATGAGCGGTGTAGATGGAAGCTTCTGTTGCTGCTGCTTCCATTCCTTGTAGTACAGGGACTCAAGAAACTTCACATCCCTTGACACTGTCAGCTTCTGGGTGGTCAAGTCCCACAGCAGCCACCCCTTGTGATCCTTTGCAATTCCCAAGTGCACACCCCATCTTCCAGAAGCCTCCAACTTCCCCTTTTTCTCCTTAGGCACATGAAACACCACCATGCACCCAAACGCCCTCAGCATGTTCACAGCTGGAGCACTCCCATACCACTTGACATATGGGATCCACTCCTTATCCCCAATTGTAGCCAGCACCCTGTTCTTCACAAGGGCGACCTGCCTCAGTGCAGACACCCAAAACGGATCAGGCAGCCCTGCACGCCCAAGGAGAGTGCGTGCCCCCTCCTGCAGGGTCCTGTTGAACCTCTCAGCCACGCCATTCTGCTGCGGGTTGTAGGGCACTGTCAGTTGATGCTGGATCCCCTTCCTCTTCAACTCCCCCTCAAAATCAGCTCCAATGAACTCCCCACCATTATCACTGCGGATCACCTTCACCTTGTGTCCGCATTCCCTCTGAGCTCTAGGCATCCACTCCTTAAGGACAGCCGCTGCCACCTCCCCCTTGCTCTTCAAAGGGTAAACCCACACTGCCCGAGTGTGGTCATCCACAATTGTCAAGAAATAGCGGCTGCCTGAGAGGGAAGGGGCTCTTGTGGGCCCCACCACATCCATGTGCACAAGTGCAAGTGGGGTCTTGGCTGGACCTGTAGTGCTGTTGAAGGGAAACTTGGAGAACTTGGTCTCCAAGCATGTAGGGCAGCTCCCAATCTCCTTCACTCCCCCTTTCACCTCCAAGCCTTTCAGGCTCCCATCCTTCACCAACTTCTGCAGCATAGGGAAGTTTACATGACACAGCCTCTCATGCCATGTCTCCCAATCGGCCTCACCACTCCTTGATGAAGCCTTAGCCCATGCCGCACTCGCATCCACACCAGCAAGCACCTCACCATGTGTCTGCTGCTGCTGCACTTTCTTGACTGCTTCCAGGACCCCATCAGTTGGTGCAGTTGCATCTCCTCCTGCTGTTGCCTTTGCCGCTGCTGCCGTTGCTGTTGTTGGAGTCTTCCCATTCCAAGGGATGATGGGCAGCTGCCATAGGTCCTTGATGCAGCTGGTCTCCTCTTCCAGACTCCACAGCACCTTCTTCCCAAGCTTAGCACGGCAGCTGGTTGGTCCAAAGGTCACTTCGGCCTTGCTCTTCTGCAGTCGCCGCACAGAGAGAAGGTTAGCAGACAGACCTTCAACCAGCAGAACATTCCCAAGCCCCACAAGTTCCCCATTGGCTCCCTTAACCTTGGCATTCCCAACACCAATCACGGGGAGCAAAGCACCTGACGCTGCTGCCACATACTTAATCTTCCCAGGGGGTTTTACCTCATCAAGCAAATCTGCCCGTGGGGTCATGTGACTGGTGCAACCTGAATCAATCACCCAGTGCGTGAGAGGGTGCATCACAACCTTTCCCACAGATCCCACATCACCCTCATGCCCATGCACATCCTCAACCATGAGAAACATCCCAAGATAGGCATTACCTTGTGCACCTTCACCTTGTGCACCTGAGCCTTGCACAGCGCCACCTTGTGCGCGTTCACCACTGGGCGGCTTCATGCCTGGAGGTGCCCATCCCTCCGGCCTGCTGAAGCACTTGAACCAAGGATGCCCGACCTTCTTGCAGTACCAGCAGGTGCCCTCCATTCTGGTACTCCCCCTGCCACCAGAGCTCCCATGCCCCTCATTATAGTCACCTCGGCCTCTACCTCTGCCAAAGCTCCTCCCACGGCCTCGGCCTCTCCAACCCCCTCTTCCTCTGCCGCGCCCTGCAGCTCCATACCCCTCAGCAGTCTTAGTGGCAGCACCGCCTCCCACATGGCGTCTGCGGAAGTCCTCCTGCAGAATCTGCTGCCTTAGCCACTCAGGTGTCCATTGATCTTGCTGAGAGTTGAGGGTGGGGATGAGGTTGTCCCACGAGTTATCCAACACCGAGATGATCTTGGTGCACTGCTGCAGCTGAGAAACGCTGCTGCCCGCTGCTGCCATCCTTGCATAGGTGTCCTTGATCTTGTCAAGGACCGGTTTCACATCATCCCCTGGTCGCATGGAGATTGCAGCAAGTTCCTTCTCGAGCACGATCACCATCGGAAGAGTGTTGGGCTGAATCACATCGCGTAGTAGTTTCCACGCCCTTGGACCCGAATCATCCGCTTCCACAAGATCCTTGATGTGCTCGAACATCTCCTTGTTGACCGATTGAAGGATGAGGTCGAAAAGCACCGTGCTTTTCTCAATCCACCGTTCGCGTTCTTCGCCTTCTTCCGGCATCTTCTCCTCCCCAACAGCAATCTTCAGTAGCTTGTAGCGTTTGAAGGCACTCCTCATGCGCCCGCTCCATTCCTCATAGTTGGAGCCATCCAAAGCTTCAACCTTTGATGGTGGCGGCTCACTTGTCTTCTCAGGTACAGCTCCTCTTCCATTAGCATCTCCTCCTCTCTCATTCATCTTCTCCTTGAGAAATGACGAATTTCAGCTCCCCCTTTGCTGTCTAGACTCAGCTCCCTCGATATTTTCACAAGTGTCGGCGTCCACGAAATTTCGGCAGAGTTTCCCCTTAGCGGAAGACACATCCAACCTTTAGAACACCACTTAGGCACACCCACAGGCCATGGTGGGTCTAGAAGGGTCTTCACACTTCTGTAGACTCCTCTCAATGTCCTCAATATTGCTCTGATACCACTTGTTAGGATTAAGGACGGAGTCTAGGTGAACTTAGGAGCTAGAATTACTCAAAATATAAATCCGAAATTCTGGATAGAAAAGTCGTCTTCACAAGAAACGACGTCGACGGAAAACTAGCCGTTGGAATGTTGCGAAACTTGGATATGTTGTAGCTTGTAATCTTAGCTACCGTTCTCAATTTGAATCACGTTCATTGATGAAGTATTCGCGACGCTATGTCTTTCGACGCACTGAGGGGTAAGCTTGTAGGAGGAGAACTTAACTCAATCTCAAAAGTTCAATCAAGGTTCAAGAATCTCACAAGGAATTAGAGGAGCAAGAGAAAGGTTGGGATAGAAGAGAGGGACGAGAGGGAAGGTCCCAAGAGAGTCCCCAACCAAGGAAACCCCATAAGCACAAAGATTCCCTCCCTATAGGAACCCCAAATTTGACCTTTGTCCCTTCCCAACCAATCCATCCAAGTTGGCCACCCTTCCCAACCTAGCTTGGTTGTTCCCAACCTATTTGCAGCTGTTACAGTAGAATGCTCATGCCAGAGACCGCCCAAGAAATGCTCATCAAACCCGCGAAGATCCTGAGCCTTCGCGTACGAATCAACGGTCAGGAACAACACGTTGACTTCCTCATACGATGGACTTATTGTACCAGTAAGGGCGACACGTGGGTTCACTCGGTACAGGTACAGTCACCTATTGTACTCCGGGATTATTTATCCCGCAAGCACGTCGCAAATATAGACCACCTTTGTTAGAGGGGGGGGGGGGGGGGGGGGGGGTATTGTAAGGAATTTAGCATTCCTTAGCGCGCCATACCGCTACCGCATATATCAAACCCCACACGGCGCCGGCATCTGCCCTAGCTTCGGCCCAAACACGACACCGAACCATTTCCGCGTCACTCCGAAGCATTTCGCGTCCTCGAATGCCTCCTACGAACCTGTTTGATCACGCGGCTAGGATTGCTCTGGTGTTCCTATATCTTCCTTTGTCATTCCATTGTACGACATTCTATTATTCTGAACCTCGACTTTCGATTCCGCGCTACTCTGGTGAAATACTCATAACAATATCTAATGGATAAATGATCAGGAATTTGTAACCTCAGCGAGGAGTTCCAGCCTCCTGTAAGGAATTAGTAATTCCTTACTGCGGCTTGCTACAGGGCGTACGATTCGAACAGTCCCGAACCAGCGAAAGGGTTCCAGACCTTTCAGTTCGAGCCTCCTGGGCCTTTCCGGACCTCGCTACGACACATCGAGGTCTTCGATACCTTTCCCGAACCTTCTGATCCTACGTCCAGGATCACCCTAGGTTTTCTATACATTGTGTTGTCTTTCATTTTACATGTCATATCATATTCCCTGAGCACCCGGGGGGCGCGCGAGAGATTTCCCTTTTAATGAATACTGGCCGTACTATAGGGGCAACGTGGACTATGGGGTTTTCCCAGGAAATGGGGCGTTGTTTTTTGTGTACTGTGCATGGGCGGCTTGACTGGTGTATGCAGCGACTTTGTAAACATCACCACGTCGCAAGCCTCTCTACCTGTGTATCAACTCCGCGTTTCAAGCAGGTTTCTCGATAACCTAGGGGTCACCCTGAAGAATCTGAGTTTGCCCGGGATCCAACTCTTCCAAACTTAGTAGCCCTAAAAGTTTTGACTGCTTTTGCAGGCATGGGTTTCGCGCTGCTCGGAATGTGCCACTCCTGACAATGACAGGGGAGCCATTTTTTCTAGGGGTGCGAACTTCTACATTAGATTTTTCATGATGAGTTTATCCCCTACTCAAAATTTGGCTGTGGGATGATTTTGGCTTGCCTGTCAATGGACGGGTATCGATCAGTGCCTATTTTTCACGAGTAAATTACACTGATTCTCTGATTTTCAGAGTTGATTTTGTGTACCACCCTTACGCCTCTGGGTAAAATTTTGAGATTATACATTTTCTCTGATAAGCCAGGGTTTTCTTTTGTACCACCCTGAGGGGTTTACTGTAAGGGGGATACCCCCGGATTTTCTTGTACCCCCCTGTCCATACATGCCCCCTTGTTCACGCGGACCGCCGAGTTGGCCCAACGTTATATACCCCCGGATTTTCGTATACCCCCCTGTCTACATACGTGGCCCCATATCCCCGCCGTATTCACGCAGACCGCCCAGCTGGCCCACGTCACATGATGCATGTCTCGCCCTTGCTGGCAGATTCCATGATCCCTATTGGACACATGTTTTCCTCACGCCTCCCTTTTTCCAAGCCCTCTCTAGCCCCACTCCCCCACTTTAGCCTCTCTCACAGCATTCGCGTATCTTCGTTCCTCACCTTAGTCGTTTTTTCAGCAAACGCCCTCTCTCATTACCAGGGTCCGCCATGCCTAGCGCGGTTGATCTCGATGACGGCGTCAGTGGTGGAAAGAATCCAGGCCCCTAGTGCTCGCTAAGTGCCATGCACTAACAACCCTGCTAGCATACTAGCAGAACGTACAGTACCATACCACATCACATGCTACGAGTGGCCGCTATTTCCGCTACTGCTCCCGCTACTATGAGTGACGCCAATTCCGTTGGCTGCTGCCGCCCATGGGACGATTGCCGCTGCTACTGCTGTGCATAGTGGGATCGTAGCTGCTGCTGCTAAGTGACCGAATTTCCGCGTAGACTGCTGTTGTTAGCTGCGAGTGCCGCGATTTTCACTCATGTTGCTACATGTGACGAGATGAGTTTGCCGTCACTGCTAACGCAACCAGTGATACGATTGTTGCTCACGTTGCTTATTTGTGTGTGTGACAGGATCGCCATCACCGCTGTTGCTGCTGTGGGTAACGAGTTCCTGTTGCTTGCTGCGGCGGCAGCGCAGGGTGAGATTGCATCAGTTAGTTGCTACTACAGGTGACAAGTTTCTGTAGCTACCGCAGTTACGAATGTCAACAATTTTAACTGGTACGGAGCAGATTAGAGCCCAACGGACGACATGGAATGGCGGGGATTCGTATTCGTGGAGCCTGGCTCCCTGGCTCCTGCGCCTTCAGGTCCACAGTGAAAAGAGGTCACCTACAGTATTTGTGAGTGGAGCAATGAATGGGAAGCGGGAAAATCAAGGGAGCCCAGCCGAGCATCGAAGACCACGACAACGGGCGCACAACAAATCTGCTTGACTCGGAGAATACCCGTATCGGATAGTGGAACATCCCTCCGATTCGGCTACACAACCTCTAAAATTCAAACTAAGTTCAACATGTTACTAGCCTTTTGGAGTCCTGTGCTACTAGTGTGTATGGCATGATGCTGATGATGCTGATGAGTGAATGAAAGAATATAACACTATATTTTATTGCAAGATCACATGCCCCCCTAGATCCACGGTCTCTAATAACACACTTTTAAGAGGGTGAAATAAAGGCACCGTGACTTGTCAGAGTAAAAAACTCCAAAACGTAGGGTTACCCTAATGCCTCAGGGTAAATGTGGAGGATCACTCTGGTTTTCAGAGTAGTGGGAAAAGTAAATTCCAGATTTCAGAGTAGTGAAAATCCTAAGATCAGCACTGGTATCGATATTCTGAGTGCGTCAAAAATAGGGCTAGGTCGAAATTTCACCCTGTTTTCCTTGACAAAGCAGTATAATTACCCTGACTTCCAGAGGCCTGGTTTCAAGCGAATGTCAGATTCCTTGACGCGCTCCTTGGCGCGTTCCTATTGGCTGTGGATAGACGGATTTTCCTGGGGCAACGCCGACGGATTCCGTTGGCGTTGCAGGCGTAATTCTACTGGACCGTCAGCGAGCTAGTGGATTTCTGCCTCGACATTGGTTGGCGAGCCTGACACATCTGGATTTTTAGAGGCTCGCCGACCAGTAGGAGAGGTCGCTCTGAAAACACAAGAGCAAACTGATTGGACGGCCTTAGATCATCCGAATTGACTGTCTAATTTAATGTTCAGTTGAGACAGGTACACTTTGCGTACAAGGAGAGGCCCGTAAGGATAAAATGCCTATGGAATACTCCTGGGCGTAAAAGGAGGTCGTCTACAAGGCATATGACCTGTATGGTCATTCACTCGTTCACAGTTTCGCCATTGCCCTCTGCGCTACAGACGATGTCTGCAAAGTGCCCTGCCCAAAAAAAATCCCAATTGCACCCCCTCGCCCAATAGAAGAAGTTTACGGGCAGTATCCGTTTCGAGAGAGTCCCCCTCGCCGGCAACTGTGCTGAGTCATCATGACAGCGGGGATGAACATGCGGACAGCGACGAAGCAGTTGCAGCCTTCTGGTTTTCGCCACATATTTTCGGACGGCGTCGCGAGGGCGGTTCGTCCAGGCCCAAATGACCTTTCGCGTTTTTCGCGAAGCCGCGAAGGACACTAGCGCAATGGAAATCTACGGAACACCGCAAACGGGAAACGCCTCGATGACTCAGCATGGCATGACCCCTTGGCAACTGACTGAACTAGAGCCCTATTCGGTCGAAACAACTCCACACTTATCGAAGCCGCACAAATGTGAGCAAATGTCATGTTCGTGACCTATTCGTTGAGCTAATTAAACAGCACTTGGGGTTGTTTCTGATCGTCGCAGTGCAAAACAGCGTAACCGTGGTTACATACGCAATCTGAACTCTGCCACCCAACCTTCCCCTATTGCGACAAAAAAAAGTTACCAACGAGCTCACCCTGAATCCCTCGCTTCTAGCAGCGAAAGCCGGCGAAATACCAAATCGACAGAAGCCCCCGCGGCTCGAAAAGGTGGCGTTCCTCTCTCGGGCTCAAGCTGTACTCGGCAGTTCCATTCATAACATCTCCCAAGGGACCCTCCGCTGGGATTGGCGCGTTTGTGTTAACATGCTAGCGAGCTCTGATTGGCCGTCACTTCGTGCGATCCGATTGGCCGCATCTCGGCGACACTCGGCCCATGCAAAACGCTCTCCCGTGATCCGTCGCAGGAGCACGCGAAGCCTCGCGTGCTGGGGGACGGCGACGGGGGATCCAGCGAATGTACAGCAGCATGTTCTAGGAGAGCAAATTCGTGCTTCGTGTCTCTGCAGAACAAGAAAGCTGACTCTGCCGTTGCCACCTAAGATTCTATTGAACGCATTTCTCGATAGCTCCATCGTACCTCCATCGATAACTCCAATGGTGACTCTTCAGAGAACCCCACCAATGGCCGCGCTTCTAGATTTCAATACAGTGCAAGAACTCTATCTTCTACACCTACCCTGCTCTTTCTTTCCTGCGTACGAACCTACGATTTTTTACCCGGGTTTGAAATTCTTCACGATCCGCAGCTTGCTAGTTTCGTTTGAAGCTCGAGAGTCTGATTTTGGTCACACTGCGACTTTCCCATCTTCGTCCGTATCGAACCTGGAAGCCGATCTTTCGTTTTACGCACCAATCTTACGTAGTACGTTCCCCTGCGGAATCCGATGGCGCGACGCCCCATGGAGGCTTTAACTATAAGGACGCCAGGACGGAGCAACGAGGAAAGCTTTTTCAGGGTGGAATATTGTCCAGCGGGAGAGGGGAAATGGAAGGGTAAATGGTGGGATGGGTACCTGAAGGTGAAAGGGAGCTCTTGCGTTCTTCAGCGAATGGCGGCCCAGACCCTGCCCGACAAGGAGCTAAAGCGAGGCGTCATTCAAAAGGTGCGAATTGGATGAGGGAGGGACGTAGGCAGGCTGCAGGTAAGTTTGCAGGTAGGCTGCAGGCAGGCTGCAGGTAAGTTTGCAGGTAGGCTGCAGGCAGGCTGCAGGTAAGTTGGCAGGTAGGCTGCAGGCAGGCTGCAGGTAAGTTTGCAGGTAGGCTGCAGGCAGGCTGCAGGTAAGTTTGCAGGTAGGCTGCAGGCAGGCTGCAGGTAAGTTTGCAGGTAGGCTGCAGGCAGGCTGCAGGTAAGTTTGCAGGTAGGCTGCAGGCAGGCTGCAGGTAAGTTTGCAGGTAGGCTGCAGGCAGGCTGCAGGTAAGTTTGCAGGTAGGCTGCAGGTAGGCTGCAAGTAGGCTGCAGGTAGGCTGCAGGTAGGCTGCAAGTAGGCTGCAGGTAGGCTGCAGGTAGGCTGCAAGTAGGCTGCAGGTAGGCTGCAGGTAGGCTGCAGGTAGGCTGCAAGTAGGCTGCAGGTAGGCTGTAGGTAGGCTGCAGGTAGGCTGCAGGTAGGCTGCAAGTAGGCTGCAGGTAGGCTGCAAGTAGGCTGCAGGTAGGCTGCAAGTAGGCTGCAGGTAGGCTGCAGGTAGGCTGCAGGTAGGCTGCAGGTAGGCTGCAAGCAAGTAGGCTGCAGGTAGGCTGCAGGTAGGCTGCAGACAGGCTGGAAGTAGCCTGCAGATAGGCTGCAGGTAAGCTGCAGGTAGGATGCAGGTAGGATGCAGGTAGGATGCAGGTAGGCTTGCAAGTAGGCTGCAGCTAGGCGCGAAGGTAGGCTACAGGTAGCCGGCGGGTAGGCTGCCGATAGGATGCAGGTAGGCGGCAGGTAGGCTGCGGTAGGCTTGCAATTGGGCTGCAGGTAGGCTCGAAGGTACGCTACAGGTAGCCTGCGGGTAAAGTGCAGGCAGGCTGCAGGCAGGCTTGCTACTAGTGGGCTCGAAGGTACGCTGCAGGTTGGCTGCAGGTTGGCTGCAGGTAAGCTCTGCAGGTAGGCTTGCGGGTAGGCTGCAGGTAAGCAATGCAGGTAGGCTTGCGGATAGGCTGCAGGTAAGCTCTGCAGGTAGGCTTGCGGGTAGGCTGCAGGTAAGCTCTGCAGGTAGGCATGCGGGTAGGCTGCAGGTAAGCTCTGCAGGTAGGCTTGCGGGTAGGCTGCAGGTAAGCTCTGCAGGTAGGCATGCGGGTAGGCTGCAGGTAAGCTCTGCAGGTAGGCATGCGAGTGTAGTGGGACGGATGCACCAGCGAAATGACCAAATCCAAAGGATGGTTACGGGGAGTAAGGGGGCGGGGAGGAGGAGGGGATGGGAGGGAGGGAGGAGGAGGAGGAGAGGGAGGGAGAGGGAACGGGATAAAGGGAGGAGGGGAGGAAGGGAGAGGAGGAGGAAGGGAGGGGCGAAGGAAGGGATGGGGAGAGGAAAGGAAGGGGGGGGGAGAGCGAGGGAGTGGGGGATGGAGGGGTTGAGAGAGGAAGCGGGAATGGAGGAGGGAGGGAGGTGGAGAGAGAGGGATGAACAGAGGGCGGCAGCAAAGCGAGAGATAGCAATGTGGAGGTGTTTCGCGTCAATGAGTGCCCAGCGCTACCGGAACAGCGGTTCGGCCTGGCAGTGCAGCGCACCCTGGGTGGCGGTAGGCTTGCGGGTAGGGTGCAGGTAAGCTCTGCAGGTAGGCTTGCGGGTAGGTTGCAGGTAACCTCTGCAGGTAGGCTTGCGGGTAGGCTGCAGGTAAGCTCTGCAGGTAGACTTGCAGGTAGGCTGCAGGTAAGCTCTGCAGGTAGGCTTGCGGGTAGGCTGCAGGTAACCTCTGCAGGTAGGCTTGTGGGTAGGCTGCAGGTAAGCTCTGCAGGTAGGCTTGCGGGTAGGGTGCAGGTAAGCTCTGCAGGTAGGCTTGCGGGTAGGTTGCAGGTAACCTCTGCAGGTAGGCTAGCGGGTAGGCTGCAGGTAAGCTCTGCAGGTAGGCTTGCGGGTAGGCTGCAGGTAAGCTCTGCAGGTAGGCTTGCGGGTAGGCTGCAGGTAAGCTCTGCAGGTAGGCTTGCGGGTAGGCTGCAGGTAAGCTCTGCAGGTAGGCTGCAGGTAGGCTCGTAGGTAGGCTGAAGGTAGGCTCGTAGGTACGCTGCAGGTAGGCTCGTAGGTACGCTGCAGGTAGGCTCGTAGGTACGCTGCAGGTAGGCTCGTAGGTACGCTGCAGGTAGGCTCGTAGGTACGCTGCAGGTAGGCTCGTAGGTACGCTGCGGGTAGGCTCGTAGGTACGCTGCAGGTAGGCTCGCAGGTACGCTGCGGGTAGGCTCGTAGGTACGCCGCGGGTAGGCTCGCAGGTACGCTGCAGGTAGGCTCGTAGGTACGCTGCAGGTAGGCGCGTAGGTACGCTGCAGGTAGGCTCGTAGTTACGCTGCAGGTAGGATCCTAGGTACGCTGCAGGTAGGCTCGTAGGTACGCTGCAGGTAGGCTCGTAGGTACGCTGCAGGTAGGCTCGTAGGTACGCTGCAGGTAGGCTCGTAGGTGCGCTGCAGGTAGGCTCGTAGGTACGCTGCAGGTAGGCTCATAGGTACGCTGCAGGTAGGCTCGTAGGTTCGCTGCAGGTAGGCTCGTAGGTACGCTGCAGGTAGGCTCGTAGGTACGCCGCAGGCAGGCTCGCAGGTACGCTGCAGGTAGGCTCGTCGTAGGTACGCTGCAGGTAGGCTCGTAGGTACGCTGCAGGTAGGCTCGTAGGTACGCTGCAGGTAGGCTCGCAGGTACGCTGCAGGTAGGCTCGTAGGTACGCTGCAGGTAGGCTCGTAGGTACGCTGCAGGTAGGCTCATAGGTACGCTGCAGGTAGGCTCGCAGGTACGCTGCAGGTAGGCTCGTAGGTACGCTGCTGCAGGTAGGCTCGCAGGTACGCTGCAGGTAGGCTCGTCGTAGGTACGCTGCAGGTAGGCTCGTCGTAGGTACGCTGCAGGTAGGCTCGTAGGTACGCTGCAGGTAGGCTCGCAGGTACGCTGCAGGTAGGCTCGCAGGTACGCTGCAGGTAGGCTCGTAGGTACGCTGCAGGTAGGCTCGTAGGTACGCTGCAGGTAGGCTCGTAGGTTCGCTGCAGGTAGGCTCGTAGGTACGCTGCAGGTAGGCTCGTAGGTACGCTGCAGGTAGGCTCGCAGGTACGCTGCAGGTAGGCTCGTAGGTACGCTGCAGGTAGGCTCGTAGGTACGCTGCAGGTAGGCTCGCAGGTACGCTGCAGGTAGGCTCGTAGTTACGCTGCAGGTAGGCTCGTAGGTACGCTGCAGGTAGGCTCGTAGGTACGCTGCAGGTAGGCTCGTAGGTGCGCTGCAGGTAGGCTCGTAGGTACGCTGCAGGTAGGCTCGTAGGTACGCTGCAGGTAGGCTCGTAGGTGCACTGCAGGTAGGCTCGTAGGTACGCTGCAGGTAGGCTCGTAGGTACGCTGCAGGTAGGCTCATAGGTACGCTGCAGGTAGGCTCGTAGGTACACTGCAGGTAGGCTCGTAGGTACGCTGCAGGTAGGCTCGTAGGTACGCTGCAGGTAGGCTCGTAGGTACGCTGCAGGTAGGCTCGTAGGTACGCTGCAGGTAGGCTCGTAGGTACGCTGCAGGTAGGCTCGTAGGTACGCTGCAGGTAGGCTCGTAGGTGCGCTGCAGGTAGGCTCGTAGGTACGCTGCAGGTAGGCTCGTAGGTACGCTGCAGGTAGGCTCGTAGGTGCACTGCAGGTAGGCTCGTAGGTACGCTGCAGGTAGGCTCGTAGGTACGCTGCAGGTAGGCTCGTAGGTTCGCTGCAGGTAGGCTCGTAGGTACGCTGCACGTAGGCTCGTAGGTACGCTGCAGGCAGGCTCGCAGGTACGCTGCAGGTAGGCTCGTCGTAGGTACGCTGCAGGTAGGCTCGTAGGTACGCTGCATGTAGGCTCGTAGGTACGCTGCAGGTAGGCTCGCAGGTACGCTGCAGGTAGGCTCGTGGGTACGCTGCAGGTAGGCTCGTAGGTACGCTGCAGGTAGGCTCGTAGGTACGCTGCAGGTAGGCTCGCAGGTACGCTGCAGGTAGGCTCGTCGTAGGTACGCTGCAGGTAGGCTCGTCGTAGGTACGCTGCAGGTAGGCTCGTAGGTACGCTGCAGGTAGGCTCGCAGGTACGCTGCAGGTAGGCTCGCAGGTACGCTGCAGGTAGGCTCGTAGGTACGCTGCAGGTAGGCTCGTAGGTACGCTGCAGGTAGGCTCGTAGGTACGCTGCAGGTAGGCTCGTAGGTACGCTGCAGGTAGGCTCGTAGGTACGCTGCAGGTAGGCTCGTAGGTACGCTGCAGGTAGGCTCGTAGGTACACTGCAGGTAGGCTCGCAGGTACGCTGCAGGTAGGCTCGTAGGTACGCTGCAGGTAGGCTCGCAGGTACGCTGCAGGTAGGCTCGTAGGTACGCTGCAGGTAGGCTCGTAGGTACGCTGCAGGTAGGCTCGTAGGTTCGCTGCAGGTAGGCTCGTAGGTACGCTGCAGGTAGGCTCGTAGGTACGCTGCAGGTAGGCTCGCAGGTACGCTGCAGGTAGGCTCGTAGGTACGCTGCAGGTAGGCTCGTAGGTACGCTGCAGGTAGGCTCGCAGGTACGCTGCAGGTAGGCTCGTAGGTACGCTGCAGGTGGGCTCGTAGGTACGCTGCAGGTAGGCTCGCAGGTACGCTGCAGGTAGGCTCGCAGGTACGCTGCAGGTAGGCTCGTAGTTAGGCTGGAGGTCGGCTTTTAGGTCTCCTTGCAGGAAGGCTGCAGGTAGGTTGCAGGTAGGGTGCAGGCTGGTTACAGGTTGGTTGCATGCAGGCTGCCCTTTCGTGAGCACGGTGTGGGCTTGCACGTCTGAGTGCATGGCTTTCACACCTTTCTGATCGCATATGCCTGGTCACTGAAAGGTTTTTTTTTCTCCTCTATCATCGCATTCTTATGTGTGGCTCAGGCGCGTCATCCATCTGCTGTTTGGTCCCGTATACCCCCCTGCAATAGGTGGGCGAGTTTTATTTCAACAAAGTTAAACGATTGACCGAGGAAGAGTACGGTACGGGCTTAAAAGAGCACCTAAAGACGGAGGTCTTCTTGTTGGATGACACGCCCGTGACAGTCAGCTATGACATGTCCACGACAGTTGGAGAGCTTCTGGCGGTATGTGTAATTGTGGATGCAAGTAACTCTGCCAAGAAGATTTCGATGTCCATGCGATTCGTTTGTCTGGGACCATGTTGTTCTCCCATCTTTCTCACATGTTCAGCTCTGGTCCTTTCCCATTGTGCAGGGCATGGACGGGGATGTGGGTGAGAAGGACTCTCGGACCATTGGGCTATACGAGCACAGAAAGTACTACACCACGGTCAACGACAACGATACAAATGTTACAAGTGAGTGAGTCGGTTTCCCCAGTTGTCATCATACTTGCCTGTAGGGTCAATGAACTATGGGATTGCATGGTATTGTGTGCGCTTATTCTTTCCTATTGGACGAATGAATCAAAGTAGTGTACAACTAGGCTTGAGCATAGGCTCGGCCTGGCCCGACTCTGGTCGGTCCGGCATATGGTCAGGCTGGGCCGGGAGCGGGCCAAGGTCAGGCCTACCTTGGGAACTCCCAGGCCCGTGCCGGGGTGTAGGGGTTTAGGTGTCGGGGCTTCTGCTCATGCACACCTGGGAGCGCGCCACTTTGTCGTCCCATGGAGCCATGGCGGCGTTTATGCTCGCTCTCACATACACCGGCACCCAAAGGGCGACCAGCTTGCTCGCAGGTCGGCTGGTTGTGAGGGTTGGTGATTTCAGTAAAATCAGGGCTGTTGGCAGGGCGTGCCTTTCAGCAAGTAATGGCGGCGTTTGAGCTCGCGGCCGCCCCAAGGGCCACCAGGCTTGCTTGCGGGTGGGGAAGGTTGGGCAAGGTAAAGTTGTCACACCTGAGATGCTTGTGATCGCTCCCTAGTTTCGCCCAAACTAAAAAACGCGAAGGTTTGCTTTCAATGACATGAGGGTTGGATGTCCATCCGCAACCACTCTCCATCCCTTCCTTTGCCTCCCCTTATCCCCTCCCCTGCCCTCCCCTCTGCTCCCCTCCACTCATGCATATTAGGCTGTGTCTCCAGCGTAGCCACCGTTGCTGCAGAGGCTGCTTCTGTTCTTTTGTGTTTCAAATATCACCTTTTCTTCCTTTCTTTTCTGCTCTAACATCCTCAGCTTGCATCCCCCCGCTTTTCCTCCCTAGGCCGGACTCATCCCCTTTGTCTGATGCACATCTAAGATGACCCGCGCCAAAAATCCTGCTGGTGCCATGGCTGTGCCTGTGTGTGGGTGACTCAAAGGTCAAACCTTCGATTTTCCTGCGCGCCTGTTCCCCTGGTTGGACTCATCCCCCTGTATCTTACGCACATTCAGGCTGCGCCCCCAGCAAAGCCCGTATTGGTACAATGGTTGTGGTAACTCTCGGATTCTCCCAGCAAAGCCCATCTGTTTCTTCCCGTACCTCCCCAGGCTGGACTCTCTCTCTCCGTGTCCAGGCTGCCCCTCCACAATCATACTTGACGCTAATTGTATTCGAGTATTTCCTTTCTTATATTGAGCAGGCGAGTACAATCTGCTGGATGAGGGCTCTTACATGGGGACCGTGATGGAAGAGCTAGAAAAATTCAAGGGGAACAGCATGCAGATGGAGAAGTCACGCCTTCTGTTGCACAAAAAATATTCGCCTCAAAACGGGGGGTCTATGACTGACCCCGTCCTCCTCCATGCGTGCTACGCCCAAGTGAGGGATATTTTCCAGCGAGGAGGCTTCTTTTTGAAGAGGTGTGATGTCGCCTGCCTAGCTGCGCTGGAACTTCACGTGGAGTTTGGCATGCTTCCTGAGCCACAAGTGACACTGTAAGCTTTCTCATGGCTCACATAGGCGCGCATTTCGAATTGATTGTTTGGTGAGATGAGCAGCTCAAAGCCATGCATAGGAGCGAGCACAAATGGGCAGTATGGAAAGGGGGGAAGGGTCCCGATTCTCAGGTGAGTGGAGAGATGTAGGGTGAGGAGAGAAGGGGGTGAGATGTAGGGTGAGGAGGTATGTGTTCTAAATTTGCGTGAAGTGGTCGACCTCTCACTTTCCTTACCTCTTATGCATCTTTTTTTCAATCCGATCTCTCTCACTACTCTTTTTCCTCTCCCATCCACCCCTCCTCTTTCATCTTCTCCTCATCCTCCTCTTTCCCTCTCTCTTTCCTCTCTCGCACCCATTCTCCTCCATGCAGAGACTGGGGAGCGGAGGTGGGAAGAATTATTCCCACAGATCAGCGGCCTCTGCAATCCAAGGAGGCGTGGAAAAGAGGCGTGCTCCAGCTTTACAGAGCATTGGTACCTGTAGTGATTGTACCTCATTCGTTCTCTACAACTATTCTGAACAACGTTCACCATCTCCTTTTATGCTCTCCTCCATTCAAGCATGTGATTATGTCCGTGGCTCCTTCATCCCAACGGCTTCCGGTTAATTGTGTTAAATAGTGTATAATATCCTCTTAAAATCTCTCAAATCTCATTTTTGTACCCACATCTGTCTTGTAGCCATCCCTATCCCAGATGGAGTCAAGCCAACAGTTCTTACGACTTATCGCCAATCTTCCCTACGTGGGTTCGGAGTTTTACTCCGTGAGAGGCGAACGCTTCACTGTACCAACGGTCCTAGTTGGGATTAACAGATATGGGGTGAGTGTGTGTCAGCCATACATGTCTGGGGTTATTGGTCTATTTTGCTTTGAATGCTATCCCTCATTTTCCCTACTCACGCATTCCCTCTCTTCACCCGCTCGCACGTGTAACACCAGATTCATTTCTTATGGCACATGCGTCGAGAGTACTTGTACTCTATCAAGTGGAGTGACGTCTCCGAAGTGTTCTACAGCCCAACAGGCTTCACTCTAACACTTCGGAGGAGCAATGCAAGTTCGGTGGTTACTTTAAACCCCATAACATCTGAACTGATTAAGATTCAAGCAGCCATTACCACTCATCGGGCGCGTGGCCTGTTGTTCCATCCAGAGGCCTTACAGAACACTTCTTTGCTTGCCCCGATTGCTGCTGCTACTGCGGCTGCTGCTGCTGCTTCTTCTGCTGCTACTGCTGCTGCTGTTGCTGCATCTCGTGGTGCTGCCACTGCTGCTGCTTCTGTTACCAGGGCTGCCACTCTTGCTGCTGATACCGCTGCTGCCACCGCTGCTGCTCCTGCTGATGCCGGTGCTTCCACCGCTGCTACTGTTACCGGTGCTGCCACTCCTGCTGCTGCTACCGGTGCTGCCACCGCTGCTGCTCCTGCTGATGCTGGTGCTGCAACCGCTGCTGCTGATGCCGGTGCTACCCCCGCTGCTGCTGATGCTGGTGCTGCCACCGCTGCTTCCGTTACCGGTGTTGCCACTCCTGGTGCTGATACCGGTGCTGCCACCGCTGCTGCTCCTGCTGATGCCGGTGCTGCCACCGCTGCTGCTGATGCCGGTGCTGCCACCCCTGCTGCTGATACCGGTGCTGCCACGGCTGCTGCTCCTGCTGATACCGGTGCTGCCACTGCTGCTACAGGAACTGTACCTTCCACAGTTGTTGCGAAAAGCCAAGCTCAAATGAAGGTATGATGCTTTCCTAAGGCACTCTGGTGATGTATTCTGGTGGGGTAACATTAGGGTTAAAGGTTGAGGTAGATGGGCTAAAGGGGTGATGAGATGGCATGAATGGTTGAGGTGGGCTAATGCGCTCTTGAGGTAGTGTGATAGGTAAAGGTCGGTGAGCTGATGGATTGATGAGGTGACACGATGAGGTGGGTGGGTGGGCTCATGGCTGCTCTGACGGATTGATGGAGGTTGGTTGCCCAATGAGCTGAGCTGAGGGGTTGGCATGAATGGTTGAGATAGGTGGCTGTTCATCGGCTGATGATACGTTTATGGGGTAGGTGGGGTGTTGGGCTGACTGATAGATTGATCGACCGGCAGAGGCAGTTGGGTGATGGCAGAGGAGGTAGGTGGGAGATGGCAGAGGAGGTAGGTGGGTGATGGCAGAGGAGGTAGGTAGGTGATGGCAGAGGAGGTAGGTGGGTGATGGCAGAGGAGGTAGGTGGGAGATGGCAGAGGAGGTAGGTGGGTGATGGCAGAGGAGGTAGGTGGGTGATGGCAGAGGAGGTAGGTGGGAGATGGCAGAGGAGGTAGGTGGGAGATGGCAGAGGAGGTAGGTGGGTGATGGCAGAGGAGGTAGGTGGGTGATGGCAGAGGAGGTAGGTGGGAGATGGCAGAGGAGGTAGGTGGGGTGATGGCAGAGGAGGTAGGTGGGAGATGGCAGAGGAGGTAGGTGGGTGATGGCAGAGGAGGTAGGTGGGTGATGGCAGAGGAGGTAGGTGGGTGATGGCAGAGGAGGTAGGTGGGTGATGGCAGAGGAGGTAGGTGGGAGATGGCAGAGGAGGTAGGTGGGAGATGGCAGAGGAGGTAGGTGGGAGATGGCAGAGGAGGTAGGTGGGTGATGGCAGAGGAGGTAGGTGGGTGATGGCAGAGGAGGTAGGTGGGAGATGGCAGAGGAGGTAGGTGGGTGATGGCAGAGGAGGTAGGTGGGAGATGGTAGAGGAGGTAGGTGGGTGATGGCAGAGGAGGTAGGTGGGTGATGGCAGAGGAGGTAGGTGGGTGATGGCAGAGGAGGTGGGTGGGTGATGGCAGAGGAGGTAGGTGTTTGATGGTAGAGGAGGTAGGTGGGTGATGGGCAGAGGAGGTAGGTGGGTGATGGCAGAGGAGGTAGGTGGGAGATGGCCGAGGAGGTAGGTGGGAGATGGCAGAGGAGGTAGGTGGGAGATGGCAGAGGAGGTAGGTGGGTGATGGCAGAGGAGGTAGGTGGGTGATGGCAGAGGAGGTAGGTGGGTGATGGCAGAGGAGGTGGGTGGGTGATGGCAGAGGAGGTAGGTGTTTGATGGGCAGAGGAGGTAGGTGGGTGATGGGCAGAGGAGGTAGGTGGGTGATGGCAGAGGAGGTAGGTGGGTGATGGCAGAGGAGGTAGTTAGGTGATGGCAGAGGAGGTAGGTGGGTGATGGCAGAGGAGGTAGGTGGGAGATGGCAGAGGAGGTAGGTGGGAGATGGCAGAGGAGGTAGGTGGGTGATGGCAGAGGAGGTAGGTGGGTGATGGCAGAGGAGGTAGGTGGGTGATGGCAGAGGAGGTAGGTGGGAGATGGCAGAGGAGGTAGGTGGGTGGTGGCAGAGGAGGTAGGTGGGAGATGGCAGAGGAGGTAGGTGGGTGATGGCAGAGGAGGTAGGTGGGTGATGGCAGAGGAGGTAGGTGGGTGATGGCAGAGGAGGTGGGTGGGTGATGGCAGAGGAGGTAGGTGTTTGATGGTAGAGGAGGTAGGTGGGTGATGGGCAGAGGAGGTAGGTGGGTGATGGCAGAGGAGGTAGGTGGGTGATGGCAGAGGAGGTAGGTGGGAGATGGCAGAGGAGGTAGTTAGGTGATGGCAGAGGAGGTAGGTGGGAGATGGCAGAGGAGGTAGGTGGGTGATGGCAGAGGAGGTAGGTGGGTGATGGCAGAGGAGGTAGGTGGGAGATGGCAGAGGAGGTTGGGTGATGAGGTAAGATGGATGGGATGGGATGATGTGCTAAGGTGGTTCGGATTGATGGGCTGCGGTGGGTGGGTGATAGGCATACAACATTGTAATATTCCATACCTTTTCGTTCCTTATGTCTATTCTTGGTTTCCTGTGCAGGTCTGCTGTCAAATCTAGCTTTAATTCATTGTGGGTCATCACTGTTTGAGTGCTTGTGCATGAAAACAGGAGGATCTTGAGAAGTGGAGCAGGGAATGCAATGAAAAAGTGGACCAGCTTCAGCAGGCAAGGTATGCTGCGAAAACACTATGGTGAGGCTGTTCTGGAGGTTCTGGCTTGAGACATTCTGGCAAGAAGGACTCAAGTAAAGGTTGCACAATTCCCATGCTACTATGGTTGGTAGTTGTGTGTATCATGTGCATTGCTGGATGTGTTTCTACGTGATTGCATGTGCATGCCCCTGCATGGCTGGCTGCGTGCCAGCATGCAAACGTGTCGTATGTGTGTGCGTGTGTGTGGGGCTGCATGTTGAATGCATGTTGCATGGTACTTGTGTGGTTATACATTCACAGACAGGAGGCGGAAGAGGCCCGCGAAGAGGCACAACGTGCCAGAGAGGACGCTCAGGCTCTGGAGGAAAATCTCGAGGAGGCGGTGAGTCGAGAGGGAGGAGAGGCTGACTAAACATGCTTGGTCTGGCTGCATGGGATTTGGACAAATCTGTGGTGTTGACTTATCTGCGGTGCATGATTATTCGCTGTTCCACACTTTCTTTCATACTATTAGGCAAATCGAATGGCCATAACATACATCAGCACTAAAACACTCTTTTCAACCTTCGCTCTGCCCTTTCTCTCTTTTGCTTTCCCTTTTCCACTCCAGCGCTGCTCAAAGGAGGCTGCTCAAAGGAGGCTGGATGCTGTAAAGGATGAGGCCACTCGTGCGGCATCTCAGGTTGGAAGAGCACTGACTCAACACCCATTCCTTCCTTCGGCATTTAAGCGGATGTAGATGGTTGTTGTGGGTGGGCTTGTCTCGTCGATTAGACGAGCTGAGCCGCCACGCGAAGCCGGGCTTCGTGCTCATGTCTATAGTGAGCTGGCTGGTGTGCTGTTGGTGAGTGTAGTGGGTGGTGAAAATACGGAACTGTCATCAACGGTAGTATTGCAGGTGAGGGGTGCTGCAGTGGTTATTAGTAGCAGGAACTCTGGAGCAGCTGCCCTCACTGCGGTGTGAGCCTGCTGGGGTTTCCAGGCTTCAAGGTGAGGGATGCTGCTATTGCTGTTGGTGTATACAATGATGGTTACTGGTAAGAAGAACCTTGGGACCAGGATCCATCACTGTAGTGGGCTTTGTAGGTGACGTGTGCGACTTTTGCTGTTGCTGTGTGCTGTGTTGAATGAGAATCTGCCTGCTGTTGTTGCTTGGGTAGGTGTTCACCCTTTACACCTCATTTCATCTCCTTACCTCTCTCCCCCAACCCCCCAAACTTCAAAACTTGCTCTACTGCACGCAGCACTTGGAGGAGCTTCAACGGGCACGAGATGCTGCTGCTAGGTAGGTCTTTAAAAAAACAATTTTAGCCCTTCACATACAGAAAGGGCTGCATGTCACTCGTTGTTAGACATCCAGGCAAAGAGCACCAATGATGTCAAAATCGTGGTTGCTATGGCATGCGTTCCATGTGCACTTTTCTGCATCGTTGGCTGCATTTGTGTGTCTTTTGCGAGTCATGCGTGTATCAATTTGTGCATGCGTGTGCTCGTACGAGTGTATCGTGTCTCTCTGTATGCATGGATGCATGCGGAATGGTTGTGTGTGTGTGGCCTGCAGCACGGCTGTGGAGGAGTTGGGCATGGAGCGTGCGCAGTTGCAGGCTAAGGCAGAGGCTGCCAAGCAGCATGCACAGTCACTTGAGAAGACGGTGGAGGAGGAGGTGAGGCGACAGGTGGTGGGACTTGGTCATTAGTGCGCTGCGTGAGCGTGTATTCGCAATTCATAATCATTATCTTCACTTTTTTCATCAATTCAGAAACAAACTTCAATAAAGAGCGGTCCCCACATTTTCCGTTTCGCCCCCACGTGCCCGTCCCACTTCAGCGGCGCATGACGGATGCAGCTGTGGCGCATTTTGATGACATGGCATCGGCATTGACTGAGCTCGAGAGGAAGCTGCTGGATGCTACGAGTCGACTGGAGGCGGCGAAGGAGAACGTGTCTCGTGCTGATCGTGAGGTGAGAGCCAGCCATCAACATGACTGACATACCAGGGGCCTATGTGATGCATGCAACTCGTTTGATACTTCGATCATCGAAGCAAAATGTCATGGTATTGTTTCCCTTTCCTCCTTCTACCAGGTCGTTGTTTTGGAGGAGGAGAGGTCGTTTCTGATTGCGGCGCAGTCGCAGGCAGCAGAGCGAGACGCAGCTGCGAGGAAGAGGCTGCAAGAAACCATTACGCGGATGCTGGTGAGTACAAATGATGGTGACCTAAGTGGTGATGGGATGATGTGCTGAGGGGTGATGGGATGATGTGCTGAGGGGTGATGGGATGATGTGCTGAGGTGGGCAGGAATGATGGCTGGGCTTGTCAGGTGATAGGGAAAAAAGATTGCTTTTTCACTTTTGCCTACTTTTTTTGGTCTAATCTTCCTCGCATTCTTTATGAATCCACACTGCTTGTGTGCATGCGCATGCCTGCATGAGAGCAGGAGGGCTTTGAGAGGCAGCGGGTGGATAATGCTCAGCAAGTCGTCATGCATCAACAAGCAATTGATGCTGCGAGGTAGGTTGCGAAAACACTATGGTGAGGCTGTGGATGCAAGTGGATGTTCTTTATTGGTCAATGTTTCAAGACTCCCATTCAACTACTATTCCTACTCATGTCTTTCATACAAATTCCATGTGCATTATTGGATGTGCCTCTATATGAATGCATGTGCATTTGTGTTGTATGTTGTCGTGTGTGCGTGTGTGTATGGCTGCATGTTGAATGCATGGAGGATGGTATGTATGTGGGTGTACATTCACAGTAAGGAGGTGGAAAGGGCTCGTACAGAGGCACAGCGTGCCAGAGACGAGGCAGGGGCTCTACAGAGGATGCTGGAGGAGGAGGTGAGGCAAGAGGGAGGTGAAGCTTGAACTGACTGCAGTCATGCTTGGTCTGGCTGCTTGAGACTTGGCGAAGCCTGATTGTAGCCATGCTTGTTGTTGACTTATCTGACTGGTGCAGGATTATTCACTGTTCCACTTTTTCCTTTTGTACTTTTAGAAAGTAAATTAACCATAGCATGCATCAGCAGTAACTCACTCCTTCAACCCTTACACGCCCATTTCACTCCAGCGCCGGGAGAAAGATGCAGAGAAGGAGTGCAGTAGCGGATTTGTTGCATCATTGGCCCAGCGTGAGAGGGAGCTGGACGCCGCTCGAAGGAGCCTGGCTGCTGCAGAGGGGGAGGCCGCTCGTGCGGCTACTCGGGTGAGAAAAGCATCTTTACCCCCTGAACTATGACTCAACACACTCCCTTTGGCATTTCTTTACTAGACGAGCTGAGCCGCCAAGCCAAGCCGGCTCGTGTCTATTGTGGGCTTCTGCTGCCGCTGTCAGTGAGTGTGGTGAGTGAGTGGTAAAAAGTGGGACCCGTCATCAACGATATTATTGTAGTGGTTATTGGTACCAGGAAATCTTGAGCAGCCACCCTCACTGCGGTGTGAGTCTGCTGGGGATTTCAGGCTTTCCAAGCGAGGGGTGCTGTAATTGATGGTGGGAGTTGGCAGAGGAGGTAGGTGGGTGATGGCAGAGGAGGTAGGTGGGTGATGGCAGAGGAGGTAGGCGGGTGATGGCAGAGGAGGTAGGCAGGTGATGGCAGAGGAGGTAGGTGGGAGATGGCAGAGGAGGTAGGTGGGTGATGGCAGAGGAGGTAGGTGGGTGATGGCAGAGGAGGTAGGCGGGTGATGGCAGAGGAGGTAGGTGGGAGATGGCAGAGGAGGTAGGTGGGTGATGGCAGAGGAGGTAGGTGGGAGATGGCAGAGGAGGTAGGTGGGTGATGGCAGAGGTCCACTGCTGTGGGCTCTCTTGGTGACGTGTGCGACTTTTGCTGTTGCTGTGTGCTGTGTTGAATGAGAATCTGCCGGCTGTTGTTGCTTGGGTAGGTGTTCACCCTTAGCACCTCATTTCATCTCCTTACCTCTCTCCCCCAACCCCCCAAACTTCAAAACTTGCTCTACTGCATGCAGCACTTGGAGGAGCTTCAACGGGCACGAGATACCGCTGCTAGGTAGGTTTTCAAATTGCAATTTCAACCCTTCACGTACAGAATGGGCTGCTTGTCACTGGTTGTTAGACATCTAGGCGAGGAGCACCAGTGATGTCAAACACGTGGTTGCTATGACCAACGGCATCATGGCATGCGTTACATGTGCAGCACTCATCTGTATCGTTGGCTGCACTTGTGTGTGACTTGCCAGTCATGTGTGTATCAATTCGAGCATGTGTGTGCTCATACTAGTGTATCGTGCCTCTCTGTATGCATGCGGAATGTTTGTGTGAGCATGGATGCATGCGAAATGGATGTGTGTGCATGGATGCATGCGGAATGGTTGTGTGTGCTTGCATGCATGCAGAATGGTTGTGTATGCTTGCATGCATGCGGAATGGTTGTGTATGCTTGCATGCATGCGGAATGGTTGTGTATGCTTGCATGCATGCGGAATGGTTGTGTATGCTTGCATGCGTGCGGAATGGTTGTGTGGCTTGCAGCACGGCGGCGGAGGAGTTGGGCAGGGAGCGTGCGCAGTTGGAGGCGGAGGCAGAGGCTGCCAGGCAGCATGCACAGTCGCTTGAGAAGACGGTGGAGGAGGAGGTGAGGCGACAGGTGGTGAGACTTGAGAGACAGGTGGTGGGACTTGGTCGACAGGTGGTGCGACCGTGCGACTTGGTCATCATTGTGCTGCGTGAGCAGGCAATGCATGGCAGCTAACTTCACTTTTCCACGTTTTCTTTTTTGCCCCCACGTGCCCTTCCCACTTCAGCGGCGCGTGACGGATGCAGCTCTGTCGCATTACAATGGCGTGGCATCGGCGGTGACTGAGCTCGAGAGGAAGCTGCAGGATGTAACGTGTCGACTGGAGGCGGCGGACAAGAGCGCGTCTCATGCTGCTCTTGAGGTTAGAGGGTTATCCATGAACATGACATACCACGGCCTATGTGATGCATGAATTTGATTACTTCTTTGTTCATCGAAGCGCCATGTTATTTGTTTGTTTGTTTATATCTTATTTCTCTTTCCCTCTTCTAACAGACTGCAGATCTGGAGAAGGAGAAAGCAACTCTGATTGCGGCGCAGTCAAAGGCAGCAGAGGGACAAGCGAGCACTCTGAAGGAGTTCCACCAGTTGGAGGGAGTGCATTTGGCGATGAAGAGCGCTCAAGCTACCAAGGAAGCTCAATGGGCAGCTGAGAGGAAGAGGCTGCAAGAAACTATTGACCGCGTGGAGGTGAGTACAGAAGATGGTGCGAGGTGATGGGATGATGTGCTGAGGGGTGATGGGATGATGTGCTGAGGGGTGATGGGATGATGTGCTGAGGGGTGATGGGATGATGTGATGAGGGGTGATGGGATGATGTGATGAGGGGTGATGGGATGATGTGATGAGGGGTGATGGGACGATGTGATGAGGGGTGATGGGATGATGTGCTGAGGGGTGATGGGATGATGTGCTGAGGGGTGATGGGATGATGTGATGAGGGGTGATGGGATGATGTGCTGAGGGGTGATGGGATGATGTGCTGAGGGGTGATGGGATGATGTGCTGAGGGGTGATGGGATGATGTGATGAGGGGTGATGGGATGATGTGATGAGGGGTGATGGGATGATGTGCTGAGGGGTGATGGGATGATGTGATGAGGGGTGATGGGATGATGTGCTGAGGGGTGATGGGATGATGTGCTGAGGGGTGATGGGATGATGTGCTGAGGGGTGATGGGATGATGTGCTGAGGGGTGATAGGATGATGTGCTGAGGGGTGATGGGATGATGTGATGAGGGGTGATGGGATGATGTGATGAGGGGTGATGGGATGATGTGCTGAGGGGTGATGGGATGATGTGCTGAGGGGTGATGGGATGATGTGATGAGGGGTGATGGGATGATGTGCTGAGGGGTGATGGGATGATGTGCTGAGGGGTGATGGGATGATGTGCTGAGGGGTGATGGGATGATGTGATGAGGGGTGATGGGATGATGTGATGAGGGGTGATGGGATGATGTGCTGAGGGGTGATGGGATGATGTGATGAGGGGTGATGGGATGATGTGCTGAGGGGTGATGGGATGATGTGCTGAGGGGTGATGGGATGATGTGCTGAGGGGTGATGGGATGATGTGCTGAGGGGTGATGGGATGATGTGATGAGGGGTGATGGGATGATGTGATGAGGGGTGATGGGATGATGTGATGAGGGGTGATGGGATGATGTGATGAGGGGTGATGGGATGATGTGCTGAGGGGTGATGGGATGATGTGCTGAGGGGCTAAGTGGAGAAATACGCTTGGGCAGCCTAGCGTATTGCGTACATACGCTAGCGTATAATACGAATACGCTGTACGCTAGCTAAGTACGCAATACGCTAGCGTATTTCTTGGCGGGCAGCCCGGCAAGAAATACGCAAAAAACGATGCGACAAATTTGCGACATGACGAAACCCCACAGGGATTTCGCCATGTCGCAAACCGAAATTTGGCTTTTCAAATCGTCAACCCAACCCCTTCGCCCCTCCCAACCACACAGCATCCCACCCAATCTGCGACTTCCAAACAACACCCAAAGAAATCTCCTTCCTCTCCCTCTCTACTCTACTCCAGCAGGGTTCAGCGCAGTTCACTCCTACGACGAAATCAGGGTACAAGTAAACTGGCGAGCTTCCTTCAGTCATTTCTTCTTCCAAGCTAGCGCGACTAGCTAGCTGGTTTTTTAGCGACTGTTGCTATGTCGAACCCCTGCCCGAGTTGTTTTTATACCTGCCCGCCAGAGCGTATTTCCTAGCGTATCCAATCCCATAATGAAGCGTACAGCGTATATACGCTAGCGTATAATACGCATGCGTATAATACGCTGGACGCGTATTTCTCCACTTAGCTGAGGGGTGATGGGATGATGTGCTGAGGGGTGATGGGATGATGTGATGAGGGGTGATGGGATGATGTGATGAGGGGTGATGGGATGATGTGCTGAGGGGTGATGGGATGATGTGATGAGGGGTGATGGGATGATGTGCTGAGGGGTGATGGGATGATGTGCTGAGGGGTGATGGGATGATGTGCTGAGGGGTGATGGGATGATGTGCTGAGGGGTGATGGGATGATGTGATGAGGGGTGATGGGATGATGTGCTGAGGGGTGATGGGATGATGTGCTGAGGGGTGATGGGTGATGTGCTATGATGTGCTGAGGTGGTCACGAACAATGGCTGGGCGCTGGGTGGGTGACTGCTTTTTCCATGCCTACCCATCCTTTTTGCCTATTTGCCTGTGCAAATCTGTTGGCTAATCCACTTTCTTTCGTTATTAATCCACCCCGCTTGCTACCACAATGGATGCATGAAAGCAGGAGAAATGTGAAAAGACGCGGGCGGATTGCTGTCAGTGTCAGCAGGCAGTTGATGTTGCGAGGTAGGCTGAGGAAACACTATGGTGAGGCTGTAGGTGCGAATAGATATGCTTGTGATTGACCCTATCTTATGGTTTGACATTGTCTGCCAAGGAGCTCTCTCAAGTCAAGGTTGCACAACCCCCAAGCTACTATCACTGCTAGTCATGTGTATCATGAGCATACCATGTGCATTGCTGGATGTGTTTTGGCGTCATATTCATGTGCATGTCACTGCATGGCTGGCTGCGTGACAGCATGCAAACGTGTCGTATGTGTGAGTGTGTGTGTGTGTGTGTGTGTGTGTGTGTGTGTGTGTGTGTGTGGGTGTGTGTGTGTGTGTGTGTGTGTGTGTGTGTGTGTGTGTGTGCGTGTGTGTGGGGCTGCATGTTGAATGCATGGGCATGTTATATGTGTGGTTGTACATCCGCAGCAAGGAGGCAGAAGAGGCCCGCGCAGAGGCACAACGTATCAGTAAGGACGCGCAGGGTTTAGAGAAGAAACTGGAGGAGACGGTGAGTCGAGAGGGATGAGAGGCTTGGGCATGACTGCTGACATGCTTGGTCTGGCTGCTTGAGACCTATCTGCTGCTAAAACTGCTGTGTTGACTTATCTGTGGTGCATGATTATTCAGTGTTCCACACTTTCTTTCATACTTTTAGGCAGCTGGAATGGCCATAGCATGCATCAGCACTAAAACACTCCTTGAACCCTCGCTTTGCCATTTCCCTCGTTTGCTTTGTCTTTTCCACTCCAGCGGCGGGAGAAAGATGCAGTCCAGGCACGTAGTAGTGGATTGGCTGCATCTTTGACACAGCATCAGATGGAGTTGGAGGATGCCAGAACGAGGCTGGCTGCCGTAACTGAAGAGGCTGCTCGTGCGGCTACTCAGGTGAGATGAGCACTGACTCAACAAACTCCCATCCTTTAACGTTTTTACCTCTGCGGGCGAATTGAGGTGGGCTTCTTTCGTCTACGAGACGAGCTGAGCCGCTAGGCCAAGCCAGCCTCCGTGCTCATGTCTCTAGTGGGCTGCTGCTGCCGCTGTTGGTGAGTGTTGTGAGAGGTAAGAAGAGGGACCCGTCATCAACGGTAATATTGCAGGTGCTGGGTGCTGTGTGCAGTGGTTATTTGGTAGCAGGAACTCTGGAGCAGCCGCCCTCACTGCGGTGTGAGTCTGCTGAGATTTCCATGCTTCCAGGTGAGGGGTGTTACTATTGATATTGGTGTTTGCGGTGATGTTTAGTGGTAGGAGAAACCCTAGGAGCAGGCGCCATCACTACTATGGTCTCAGTGCTGGGCTTTAGAGGTAAGGGGTGCTGCAATTGCTGTTGGTGCACTAGTAGGAGGAAAGGTGGTGTCAACGCTGGGCTTTGCAGGTTACGGGTGCGACCACTGCTGTTGTTGTGCTGAGCAGCTGTGCTGAAAGAGAATTTGGCTGCTGGTGTTGCATGGGCAAGTGTTCTCCCTTTGCACCGCATTTCTCCCCTCATCTCTCTCCCTCCAACCCCCGGTAACATGTTTCCCTCTTGCTCCATTGTTCTCACCTCTCTTTGTTTCACCGCTGCTCCTTTTTCATGTCCCTTTCATTTCCCGTAAAGCTCTCCACGTTACGAATGGGCATGCTTGTTTGCCTATTTCTAACCCATCCCCTTCTCCATGAATGCACGTGCACCGCCTGGACCCTGCATAGGAGGAGGAGCTGCAGAATTTGCGAAGGGATCGTACGCAGCACTCGGAGGAGCTTCAGCAGGCACGGTAGGCCTTTGGAATCGCAGTGTTCACATACAGAAAGGGCTGCTTGTCACTGGTTGTTAGACATCTAGGCAAGGAGCACCAGTGATGTCAAGCACGTGGTTGCTATGACCAACGTCATCATGGCATGCGTTACATGTGCAGCACTCATCTGTATTGTTGGCTTCGTTTGTGTGTCTGTTGCAAGTCATTCGTGTATCAATTCGTGCGTGTGTGTGCTCATGCGTGTGTATCGTATGTCCTTGGATGCATGCTGAATGGTTGTGTGCCGCTTGCAGCACGGCTGCGGAGGAGTTGCGCATGGAGCGTGTGCAGTTGGAGGCGAAGGCAGAGGCTGCCAGGCAGCATGCACAGTCGCTTGAGAAGACGGTGGAGGAGGAGGTGAGGCGACAGGTGGTGAGACTTGGGGGACAGATGGTGGGACTTGGGCGACAGGTGGTGAGGCTTGGTCATCTTTACGCTGCGTGAGCGTGTGTTCGCAATGCATGACCATTACAGCAGCTGTCCACGGCACTTCAAATACGTGCTCCCGTAATAGCTCTGCCCATATTTTCCTCTTCGCCCCACAAACCCTTTCCCATTCCAGCGGCGACTGAGGGATGAGGTGGTGGCTCAGAAGAGTGCATTGGCATCAACTGTGACGGAACGTGAGAGGGAGCTGAATGATGCTCTGAGACTGCGGGCTGAGGCAGAGGAAAGAGCCAATCATGCTGCTAACGAGGTAGGAAGGCCATTTGTAAGTATGACCAACTAAAACACTATGTGATTTATGCGAGAGTATGCTATTTTCTTTCGTTCATGTGAAATGGCATTCTCCCTTCCTTTTCCTCCTTTCACTAGGCATCTAAGTTGCAGCATGAGAAGTCATTGCTGGATGTTTCAAGGGCGCGGGCAGAAGAGGCGGTGGCGAACACATTACAATTGCTTCACCAGTTAACAACCAATCACGCTGCCGAGAAAAATGCTTGGGAATCTGAGCGAACAAGGCTGCAAGAGTCCTTTGCTCGGATGCTGCAGGCGAGTACTAGGTCGTGATTGGGTGTTGAAGTTAGAGCTTTGTTGGCATGGTGTTGTGGAGGTAAGTTGTTAAGTGGCACGATTTCCCTATGGCGTCATCTTTTCTTCCTCTCTTGGAAGGAGCAGCTAAAACTGTCGAGGTATGGGTATAATGGTTGTAAGGGAAGATGCACGGGAGGTGAGACACACGTGTGCATTCTAGACGTTCAAACACTTTGCATTACTATGCGGTTCTCCTTGCACTTCTTCCTATCTGCCTCTGACATCATCTCCCCCCTCTCGCATTCGTTTCCACCTGTGACATTCTAATCCGCCTGTCCAATGTCCGAATCACCCCGTACAGAATCTCGAGCGGCAGCAGGAGGCCAATAAGAAGGCGGTGGAAAGAGGGCGGGCAGATGTTGCAGAGCTCAAGGCGCAGCTGGGGGAGGCGCTGAGGACAGCTGCTGCTGAAAAAAACAAGAAGGAGGAGCTGCAGAGAAAAGTGGACGAGTACGATGAAGAGCTACGTGCTATTCGTGTTGACTCGGACGATGATATATTCACAGGGCCACCAGAGCTGGCGATGCTCCCAGGCGGGTAAGTGAGGCGCTGCAGGGGGTGAGAACTTCTTAGCTGAATAGGATGAATGGAGGGGAGGCAGTTTGAGGTGGGTAAGTGCTTAGAGCACTAGAATGAATGCTTTACTAAGTGCTCCAACCATTCTGATGTCAGCCTTTTTTTTCTCCTTAACTGAAAGCACTTGTGTTTAAATGCTTTGTATCCATGCATAGATTAAGTCTTTTTCCTACCTTCAACAGGTTCATGCAGGGGAACAGAAAAGCGACAGGAAACAGGCGCGAAGATACAGGCTCCACAGATTCAGGTACTTAACACAAGACTGCGCAGCCGCGAAGTCGCATGCAGCTTATATGTTGCTTCTGCCAGTTCCGCGCATACCTCATTCCATCCTGTTCTCTCCATATTGTTCTGTTTCCACCTCTCACCAACTTCCCCTCTGCCTCTTCCCCTGTTCTCGGGCTCCTTTCATCCTTTACTTCGACATTGCGTTACTCACAGAGGAGGAAGTTGAGGAGGAAGAAGTTGGGGAAAGGGAAGTTGGGGAGGGGGAAGTTGGGGAGGGGGGAGTTGGGGAGGGGGAAGCTGGGGAAGGGGAAGCTGGGGAGGGGGAAGTTGAGGAGGGGGGAGGTGGGGAGGAGGGAGGTGGAGAGGGGGAAGTTGCAAGGGGGGGAGATGTGTGAGCCGTAATGTTGATGTTGGGTTGCACTTGGATGTTGCCTAGGTTAGAATACTAGAATAGTTACAAAGAAGAGAGAACAAGACAGATATAGGGTTTGGGTTGTACTTTACATGCAGATGTACAGTATGTATATGTTGACACACCCCCTAGGCTAGATAAGGGGTAGTGCTGAGCAAGAAGCACACAGCTCAGGGTGGCACTACTAGTCCAACCTCTGAGGCAGGGATCCGAAGACCAGTCAGCAAGAGTATAAACAAGACAAAAGCAAACCAGGGCGGCACTACTACTCCGGCCACTGGAAGAGAAGCCACAAGGCCAGTCTGAAAGATATATATAAAGAGGAGTACACAATCAAGGTCCTAGCAAGTGAGAGTAAAGGAACTAGACCAAGCTGCAAACATTGTCGTTGATTATCTCTAGGCGCAAGCGCCTTAGTAAAGATATCAGCTGTGTTGGCACCGGAGGCCAAGTGTACTACGCGGGCCTGGCAACGCTGCTGTAGCTCGCGCAGGAGGAAGTACCGCAGCTGGATGTGCTTCGCTCTACCCTCAAGTCGAGGCTCCTGACACAGGAGGATCATGGCCATGTTGTCAGCGTACAGAACCGGGGCAGAGCTAGGCTGCTCCCCTAAGTCGGTGAGCAAGAAGGTCAGCCAGCGGAGCTCCTGTGCCGCCATGGCACTGGCGTAGATCTCAACCTCACAGCTAGACTGGGCAACAGACGAGGAGCGAGTGGACCTCCACGAGATGGCACCCGAACCAAGGCTAAAGCAGTAGCCCTGAAAGGACCTGAGGGTCTCAGCGTCGTCTGCCCAAGAAGCGTCTGTGTGCCCAGTAAGGACTACTAGCCTGCATCCTCCCAGCAACCCCATGCCCAATGTACTTGCTAGATAACGCAAAACCCTCTTAGCGGCCGACGAGTGTTGTGGTCGGTGTCTGCCTGTGGCCACAAAGCGAGTCACGATGCTGAGAGGGTATGCGAGATCTGGACGAGTGCAAGTCATCACGCACATGAGGCAACCCACCAGCTCTGATAAGGACCACTGAGCTCTACTGACTCCTCAGGAACTGGAGCAGAGAGCCTGTGATCTGCTGGCAGAGGTGTGGGCTGTGCGGAGGAGAACTGAAGACTGTACCTCAGAAGGACCTGGCGCACCAAGTGTGACTGTGTGGGAGTGATGGTGCGCGCTCTTCTGTCCCAGGAGATTTGCAAGCCAAGGTAGCGACGCAGCTCTCCTAGGGCAGTGCAGGTGTGTCTCTTCAGCAGCTCGGCCTTCACGGAGGCCAGTGCGTCTCTGTCTGCAGTAGCGAAGACCATGTGGTCTACGTAGACAAGGATGTAGAACGGAGTCTGGCCAGTACGAACGAAGAGCGAGGGGTCTGCAGAGGACGGAAAGAACTGCAGGTCAGCTAGCGTAGCACGCAACGTGTCGTGCCACTCACAGGGCGCCTGTCGCATGCCGTAGACCAGGCGCCGGAGGAGCCACTGGGTCCTAGGAGGGAAGGTACCGGTGAAGACCTGCGTTCGGCGTAGGTAGACCTGCTCGTGTAGATTGCCCTGGGGAAACGCTGTGGAGAAGTCAAGGGAGAGTAACTCGTATTCACGCTGTGCTGCTACGTGTAGCAGCGCCCGAAGAGTAGTCATCTTCGGGGTCGGGACGAAGGTTTGAAAGAAGTCCACCCCCTCGCGCTGATTGAAGCCTCTACCAACGTAGCGCGCTTTGAACACAGGCGGCTCTCCAGGAGGGCGCCTCACCTTGAAGTGCCACCTGCCATCGACTATGTTCACCCCAGGTGGGGGAACTGTGTCGATGAAGGTGCCGGTGGACCTCCAAGATGCCATCTCCTGCTCCATGGCAGCTATCCACTGAGAGGCCCAGGGTCCCGAGGTCGCCTCAGCGTAAGTGCGAGGGGTCGAGATGTCAAAGGCTTCTTGGTCACCATCAGGGACTAACAGCATGGAATAGAGATGGGGAGTAGCCTCAGACAAGAAAGCAAGCTCGCACTGTCTGTCCTCTAGGATGCACTGCCAAGGGCAGACGCACCCTTGATAGATGGAGGACAGACAGGGTTAGAGACCAGAGCGGTGGCGTAGTCAAGGCGGCGGATAGAGGCGAAATCAGCGACGGCGGCGACAAGAGCGTCAAGACTCGAGACAGGGACAGACGGGTCGGTAACGAGGGAGGCAAGGACTCGAGAAACAAGAGGACGAGTGGCACGAAGGTAGTCAGACAGAAGGGGAGGCGCGATAGCGAGCGACGATGGAGGAGGCAAAGGCAGGAGGGGAGGACGAGACGCGTGGAAACGAAGCAACATAGAGTGAGAACACTGAACAGGAGAGGCAGGACGAGCACGAGATGGACGGCGATACCAGACGTGAGAGGGAGGCGCCGGGTCAGGGGACAGAGGAGGAGCCACATGAGGGGAACGAAGGGGAAGACGCACCGGAGATGAGTCCGGCGGAGGGAACACTAGGCCGTAGACAGGAAGAGGAGGAGGCGGCGGGGGAGGCGTAGGCGAGCGGTCAGGGGAGGGAAGGCCGAGAAGGCGAAGGGCGGACACCGGCGGCGACTGCTGCTGCTGCTGCTCGACGCCGACACCTAGACCACCAGCTGCACCACGGTTACCTCCGGAACACTCCACTCCAGCACCTCGAGAACAGGCACCCCAAGAGCAAGAACTCTCTCTACCACCGGTGCCACCCCCAGGCCCGCCGGGACAAGCCATGACACGAACCCCAGGACTAGCACCCTCCTCAATGCCAGCACCCCCAGAGTCCACGAACGGTTGCTGCTACTGCGGTGGTGGCGGCTGCTGCGGCTGCGGCTGCGGCAACGACTGCGGCTGCTGCTACGGTGGCGACTGCGGCGGCTACTGCGACGGCGGAGGAGGAGACACTGGGGGGGAGGCAGGCGGCGAGAACGGCGTCGTGGGGCCACCAGAATCAACCGACTCCTCGACCGGGACAACCGACGGGAGAGGAGTGACGTAAGACACACGAGACGGAGCAGGACGGGGAGAAAGGGGAGTAGGGGCGACCGGGTGAGTGGGGACCAGAAACAGGGGAGGGGAAACCGAGAGACCTCGGTGGGGAAAGCGGTGGTAAAAGGAGAGAGACTCGTCGAAAATGGCGTAACGGGAGTAAAAGAAGCGGTGAGACAGCGGGTGGTAGAAGTGCCAGTCAGACGAGTCAAGGGGGAACCCGAGGAAGACACAGGGGACAGTGCGGGCAATGAGCTTGTCCGTGCCAGAGGCACGAACGTGAGTGAGGCATCCCCAAACGTGGAACGCGGATGCGTCACCAGGGAACCCAGTCCAAAGAAGGGTTAGCGAAACCTGTGGCCGCTAAGAGTGCGGTCACATGTTAAGCTGGTGAGCGGCATAGCGAACAGCGAACGCCACAAAAAATGGGGTGCACCGGCATGGATCATGGAGGTACGAGCCACCTCCATGACCAAACCAAAGCGTCGCTCAGCGACCCCATTCTACTGCGGGGAGTCCAGAAAGGTGTACAAATGGGTGATGCCCTCCGCACGACAGAACTAGCCAAGGCGACCGGAGGCAAACTCGCCACCACGGTCGGAGAGGAGACACAGCACGGGGAGACCGCGGTGGACGCGCGCAGCTACGACCCACGGGATAAGATTGTTAGGCACGTCGGCCTTCCGCTCCAGGGGAAACACCATGGTGTAGCGCGTGAAGTCGTCGACGAGCACAAGAAAGTAGCGCTCGCGACGCGGTCCAGGGACGGGGGCTGGGCCCCAGACGTCCAGGTGCAGGGTCTGGAAGGGTGCGGTGGCAGGGCGAAGTGAGGAGGAGTGAGGAGCATGGCGCAGCAGGCCCTTGACGCAAGGCGTGCACGGGGGCGAAGGTGAGAGAGGGAGGGCAGGAAGGGACGCAGGGAGACCGAGGACTAGACCGTGCTGAGACACGTGACGCAGACGCGGGAGTGCGGGGTGACCTAGGCGGTGGTGCCACAGAAGCGACGGGTTAGTGAGCGACCGACACAAGCAGGCCACAGCGACCTGGGTAGACGCAGGACCCGGGGAGGACGCGCCCACCGGGGGGAAGCAGTGTCCAGCGTAAACAGGCCAGACACCGGGTCTCGGGGGAACGTCGCAAGGGGGCCACCTGAGGCGGTCTCGGTACAGACAGCGTACTGCTCGTGACCAGGGAACGTAGTGGTGACGCCGAGGGTCCTGAAGACAGCCGACACCAACTAAGTTCCTGGAGAACGAGGGGATGTGCAGGCGTGTAAGGGAACCCGAGGGGGCCGCAGGACAGGGGAGGGTAGTGGAGCTGCGAGCAACGACAGGACCAGAAGAAGGGTCCGCAAGGGCGACAGAGGCAGGGATAGCGAGCGACATGAGGGTGGCGTGGTCGTGGAAGAAGCAGGCAGACGCACCAGAGTCGAGCATGAAGGACAGCAAAGAAGTAGTTGCAGACAAGGGAGGAGCAAGGGTAGAGCCTATGCTAGACAAAGCAAACGGTCCTACGCGTGACGCAACAGGGGAGTTTGTACTACACACACGTGCTATGCCTAAACTAGAGAACACAGGGTAATAAGATCCGGACACACTAGAAGCGTCAGCAAGCACTAATCTGATCCATGTCTAAGTCAAACGTAGGCACACCGTGACGGAGCAGACTGGGCCAATCAGGGAGGTCCGGGGCCGGGCCGAAGCGGCGACGAAAGAGGCCGTCGAGGCGGCGGAAGCAGCTGGTGGTCGGGTGCGGGCGGCGGCACACAGTGCCACAAAGGGGCCCGGTCTGGAGCTGGTACTGGCAGCTCAGAGCACCGAATCCGCCGGTAGATGCCGAGCTGTGGCGGCCGCCACCGCAGCCACCACCTCCTGGGGCTCCTGGCCACCCCGGCGGGAGGCGGGCCCACGATTGCTGCTGCTGCTGTGGCTGCTGCGGAGATTGCGGCAGCTGCTGTGGCGATTACTGCTGCTGCGTCTGCTGCTGCTCCTAGACACCAGCCCCAACCCCCTTGTCCGAACCACTATCCCCGCCACCACCACTACCACCACCAGCGCCACCACCACGCCCTCCCTTGGGGCCGCGACAGCCCCTACGTTGTCGCTGCTGCGGAAAGGCCATAGCTGTGGTCTCAGTGGTCGGGGCAGCCGTAGCAACCACGGCAGAAACGTCAGCGTATGTGCACTGGGAGGGAGCACAGCCCTGAAAGATAGGGACTGCCGCAACACCGCTCGACTGAGCGATTGTGTGCTGGCGA